GAATTGATTTTGTTTATACTAAATACTACCACTATTTTATATGGCATTTAGTAGTAGGTAATGAAAGGTAACCTTATTTCCTTTTATCTAGCTTTCAACAAATGACATACATCCACATACAAAAAAATCTAAAACCAAAAGCATGTTTCTGTTCATTTCAATTTATCACAATCGCAATTATATAAAATTCATTCACCAGTAATTTAAGAAATGTTCACTAACCTATAATTTTCCAGTAATCATTATCATATCTTATAATAAAAATATAGTAAAGAAGTAGACGATCGCGTGAAAAATACATAATCCCAAAAACATGAATAATCATCTCCCCAAAGAAATAGAATACATAAACCTGAAATAACAAAATCTAACAAATTGCATTTTGAACTTGGCGCTCTTAGTTTGCCAAGTTGGCCGCTAGATGACAGGCCAGATTGTTGTTGTTGCTCCTCGGCCTCTGATTGGTCGAACCGCCGTCGCTCCTCGGCCCCGGATTGGTCGGACTGCCGGAGCTCCTCGCCTTCTGATTGGTGGACTCAGAGATTTAAAGCAGTGGCGCTGTTTGCTTCGGGGGATTTAAAGCTTTCACATTCCGTTTTTCCCGATTTTCCGACCTACGAAAGGATAATCGAATCGGGAGTCGCGCGGGGAAACATGGAAGATGACAACGAAGGTTTGAAAGACTTGATATTGGAGGAATTGACGCGTCTGGGCGTGCAAAACACCTCAGAGAGCAAGGCTAGCCAAGGGGGCAGCAGACTCCTCACCATCAACTACAACACCAATGCTTCTAAGTCCGGTAAACTCAAGTCCAAAGGCAAGAGGAGTCCCAGGGCGTCGTCGGCCAAGAGTCCCCACACGAAACAAGGCCACTCGAAAGGGCGGGATGACAGGAAACACACGCCCAAGTCCCCCTTTGCAGCCGCCAAGAGGAAGGCTGAGCTGCGGAAGCAAAATGCGAAGGAAAAAGTAATTGTAGAATTTGTTTTTGGTTTTCTTTTCACTTTTCTAAACGAAGTCTTTAGTTTGTGTTAGTGCCGAGTTCAGATATCATACATTAATTTCATGATTAATTGTTAAGTTAAAACCCATGGTAACAGTTAAGTTTCATGAAGCCATCTTTCATGAAGCCAAATATATGGAAATGACAGAGTGAAGGAATCTAAAAAATCATCTATGTACTTTCAGTGTGAATGAAACATTAATTTTTTTGGCACATGTGTGAGAGAGTCTGAAACGAAGAACTACCCGACCCACATGTAACCCAAGCCGTTAATTGTTTTGAAACGACTGTATGACTTAATGACGCCTGATTTGTCCTGCTCTGTTGCAAAACTTGCAGTTGGCTTCTCAGTGATGTTTCTGTTCATAGCTTTGTCATCTTTTACTTGATTGTGTAAATGTCGGTATTTTTTGTTTGTTTGTTTCACTGCCATTCAACCTTGCAATTGTAATTTTTTGTTTCAAATATTCCTGGTGTAATATGTTTGAATTTGTTGTTTTCCGTTGCAAATGAACAGTACAGGAAACAAGTGAAAGTGTTGGTATTTGGTATATGAAGTCCCTATCATTCTAGCCAGTAACCTTTGGGGCACTCCTGGGTACCCCTTGCTCATACTTTCCTATTAAGAGCTCTACTCCTGGACACTCACCCAATTGCTGTGTACCTACGGCAAGACATTTACCAGGACCTATTTTCTTGATTTCTGCCATTATTCTTTGCCTGCAGATTATTTCACATATCAGCAATTGTAATTTTTTCCTCTGTAAAACAGTATCATTAGATTTTCCCATTTCTGATAAGGGTCATTATGTAAATGTATACCAAGGTATTACATATGTATTGCACAACTGGGTGTGTGAAACTGAAACTGTAATGAGATATCTGATGTGTTGTTATGGCTGTGGGTATAGATAGGACATTATAGACAAATAATGGATTAGCTGTTGGTCAGAAAGTGATATGCAGTATAGTAGTTGTACATTTATATTTATTGGTTAATCTTGATGGCAAGGATACACTAAGCTAGGAAAAATTGAAGATAGTCTTAAAGTACAAAAATTTGTTGTAGTCAGTACAAGATATAACCTGCAGACATGAACGTTAACACCACAAATAAAGGAAGAAGATTGAGGAAAGTGCCGCTCACAGTCCAAGTCCACGGGTACTCCTGGGTTTCAGCTCTATCTTGCCGTGCATATCTAGATGAAGGCAATATTTGCCAGGGAGCCCTCCCCTTCAAATGTCTCCTTGGACAGTACCCAAAGGACCAGCCCAGTTGCACAATTTAGATTGTTAGATAAAGTTTGTGATATGGGGTTCGGGGCAGTCTCTATAATGAGTTTGTCTGTATTGTAATGAATTACCTTTTTAACTTATGATTTATTAACTTCAGTTACATATAAAGCACATAAAAACCATGAGGCTACACTTGTGCCTCAGGAAAAAGTCCTAGGAAAAAGTCTTGTAGCTATATGACATGAATTTTTGATGTCATTGAAATAAGGAAGTCTTAAGGAACAGATAATCACAGTTCCACATTACAGAAGAAGTAGAAATAATGTCACTGAAACAGAAACTAATTTTGTTTGTGGAAACCATTATCATTTTCTCTCCTTTTACTTATCAGATTTTGGCATTTCAATCTTTTTCAGGGACTAGTGTTTGGGAGAGAGCTAGGGCATGTTCCCTCAGTATGCGTGTACATGAGTGATGGAACTCAAGTTACCGTCGCAGAGTTCCTTGTGGACGTTTGCAATCTCATCCGCAGAAATATCACAGTTGAAGGCATTTTTCGCAAGGCTGGTTCATCACAGAGACAAAGTGATATTAAGGTGGGAATAAGTAGCTGTTATTGTTTTGATAGTATGGTATTAATATTTGTTAATATATCTTTTATTGTAAGTTCTTGCACCCTGTAATATGATATGTTATATGATATATAATATGAAGCTGTCTAAAATTTTGATAAAATTTTAAATCCCAACAATGTTATTCCTTCCACAGAAATTGATTGACAGTGGAAGCAGTCTTCCCAATAGCGTTCATGTCATAGATGGAGCATGTCTCTTGAAGCAGTTTCTGAGGTCACTGCCAAATCCACTCTTGTCCTCAGAAGTTCATAACAAGACCATAAAGTATGTGTGTGATATTTTTGTTGTTTGTGGTATTTTTAATGGCTACCTTTTTTGATTTTTGTAAGTACAGTGGCTTATTTAAGTTATCAATTGTGATTCTTTATAGCTTATTTTAAGAACCCAAATTTCCTTTTTTTGACAGATGTATGCAACTGGGAAAAGAGGCAAGGACAGAAGCAGTGACGCTTTGCACAATGTTATTACCCCTGGCTAACAGACACACACTTGTCTATCTTATGGATGTGAGTAAAAGAATAAAAAATTGTATATGTTCCTGCTATAAGTAGCTATCAATTAATATCTTGGAATATGACAAAAATATGGTATGAATCATGATTTTAAAGATTATATTGATTTGCTTTTTCATTCATAATGTGGTATTTTTTGCTCAGTTTCTTTCAGATGTTGTTGCCGCAAGTGGAAGCAACCTGATGGATGCGCATAATTTGGCAATAGTGTTAGCACCCAACCTCCTGCCAACATCCATCACAGTGAACAATAGGAAAGGTGCAGCAGGGCCCTTGCATTCAGAAGATGCCATGCTTGCAACTAATATTGAGATTTTGCAGGTGATATAGTGGTTGGGTTGTTTTTATTTGTAGCTCAGTAGAAATGATAAGGTTGAAGTTTAACAGTTATGATGTTGAGTTACAGTTCAAGGAGATTTGAAATTATATCACTTGGTTATTTATTTATTTATTTATTTTTTAGTTTGCTGTTAAGGCTTTTTTTTATCTTTAGGTTTCATATTGTATTTTTGGTAAGATGTAAACTGTCATGTAAATAAACCATACTGTTCAGCATTGTTTCCAGATTATTCATAAACTGAAAATAGATTTTAAAGACTACAGTTGTTTGTTGCACTGATAGTGGTCATAACTTTTGATTTGATAATACAACATGGCTGGAGTATATCTTGCTCTTGCAATTATTGCAGAACAATTATGGTATGATGATTATTCTTGGTTATTAATTGGGAAAGTGCTGCTTGATTTTAAAAAATGTTTTTGCACAGAGGATATATATCTAAATAAAATGAAATTTTATTTGAAAAAGAATATTGAGGACAAGGCTTCCTGTATGTTTTCATTAACTCACGTTGTTTATTTGCAGTTATTAATAGAGAATGCTCCAAGGTTGTGTCGTCTGCCAAACAATGTAGCACTCGCTTTGGAGCACCGGGAACAGAGCAGATCAACAGAAAACTTGCTTACACCAAGTGAACCCCATCCTGCTACCAGGAAAAAGCGTCGCAGTGCCTCAATACACAGTATGTTATATAAAAGAATACTCATAAGAATTTAGAGCAGTCTTTGAAGTTAGTGCCAGTTATAACCAAATTCAGTGACAAGTCGTTCCAGTTTTCATACCTTTATAGGGCAATAAGAAAATAGTGTAAATGTTTTGTTTTCACAATACAAGGTATAATATACAACATTTTTCTACGATTAGCAATATTTAAGGAAAAAATAGGTATGAAAAAAATACCTTTGTCCCGTTGTCAGGATTGATGACGGGTCTGCGACGCGTGGTGGGCCATTCCTCGGGTGGTGGTGGCTCTCCCATCCGCATGTCAGGGAGTGCTGAATGCCTAGACTCTCTCCACCTCCACCCAGGTATTGCTCTGTCCCCAATGCCAGGATCCGGGGGTTCGCCAAGGAAGCGCAAGTCCTCCGATGCATTTGATCTGGGTCTAGAAGCCTGCAGGTCAGTATGCTTGTGGTCAGCTTGTATGTGTGTGGCCAATAAAGCTTGTAATGCATGTCCTCTTTTTGGGTTATTGGTTGGGCTGTGTGTCTGTTTATGCATTTTATTTTTATTTATTTATTTATTTATTTTTATATAAGTACAAGTTTGCTATGAACCTCCTCTCTTGCCATTGGTGTCGGTCCAGTTGCAGTGTGCATGTTGACTTAGTAACGCAGTGTGTTGAGTGGCATGTTATGTTCCAGGGACCCAGCTGACCACCTCCAGGGGCCCAGTCCGCCATCCCACAAGAGGGCCAAAGTTGAGGGTCATGGGGGCAATGTAGGGGCTTCTGCTACTACTACTGTGGATGCTGCAACTAGTTCTGTCTCTTCTATTCCTCTTACTGTAAACCCCTTTGCCTCATCTGTGAGTATATATATGGATTATATATGACACACTTGCATTTTTATATGACTTTCAAAGCATATGGATTTGAAATAAAATTAATGGGCTAGAACTGACTAAATCCTATAATATTATAGAAAATTGCAAAATTATTTTATTTTTTTTATTTTATTATTATTATTATTATTATTATTATTATTTTTTTTTTTTTTTTTTTTTTTTTTTTTTTTTTTTTTTTTTTTTTTTTTTTTTTACTGATATTGCTTTAAAGATGGACATTATCAGAACACCTACTTTGAGACCTAGTAGGAGTGTAATACTAAACTTGAATTATTTTTTAAAACCATAACATGTATGCTATAAAAGTTATCAGCATGCCCTATAATATGGCAATAGTCATTAATAATTTTTGTTTTTAATGCATCTCCTATTAAATGCTTTGCCTCTCTATTTTATAGGCGAAGTCAAGGTCCAAAATGGGCCAACCATTCACCATTAAAGAAATTCCAAGCACGTGGGATGTATTCCCCCAACCAAGCACACAACCCTCCATCATGGGCTACTCCAAGTCGAGTCTCAAGAGATCTAATTCAGCGAAGGCCAGCGCACTCCCCAAATCCCCGGGCACTAACCTTCACACAAACCACCAGGGTGTGAGCAGGAAAAGTCTTGGTCGCACAGAGCACATTGGGAACAGAGCTGTGATCTCAAAGACAAGTTTGGATATTGCCAATGCATTGGCACCGGTGAAAATTGGGAACAGAGGTTTGATCTCAAAGACAAGTTTGGATATTACCAATGCAATGGCACCGGTGAAAAGACCAGTTGTGAAGAGAAGAAGCTGTGATATACCTCTAAGGAGCAGTGAAATGAGAGGAAGCATTTCTGAAGACCCAACCTGGATGAGGCGTCGAAGCAGTGGGAACTGGAGGAAAAAGGAGAACGAACCTGATGGTGAAGATGTTTCTACTTTGGGACCACGTGGGGTGCCAGATGGGGCCGAGTGTATTTTGCGGGATAAAGTGAAGCCAACAGCAGCTGTTGCTGATACAGTAGAAACTTTGGAACAGCAGTATGATGACATTAAGTCTGTAGTTAAAAATATGGAAGAGGAAGTTGACAAGAACAATGTACAGCAGTTAAAAGAGACCTACTTCCCAGACAGTTCTTCATTATCAGCACAGAATATGAGCTACTCAGAAATGATTCAGAGTGCCTATGAGCGAATGAAGGTTGAAACAAAGGACCTGGAAATTAGCCCTTCAGACAATTTATCAAAGAGATTAGGGAAGGAGCTCAAAATCAGAAATCGCAGGAGCAGTGAGCATAGGGTCATTCGATCCCCTAGTGAGAGAAAGATTGGTACCATTAGGAGACGCTCGAGAGAACTTGTGCAGAATGCAGCAAAGAGCCTTATTAATGTAGAGGATACCCCAGCTAATAAACAAGTTCAGACACCAAGGATGAAAGGGGCTCTCATGCAGACACCTATCAGTACAGCATTAAAAAGGGGGAGGCCAAACTCGGTGAAATCAGGTCTTCCGTTTGTGGTGAGGGCTTTGAACATTAGCTCAGATTCAGTAATGCCAGTTGATGAAACTCCAAATTCAAGCCGCACAGTTGTTGTCAACAGGAGAAATGGTGAACAGGAGCAGATTCAGCGTTTACAGATTACAAATCAGAGCTTATACAACAGGTCAAATGAACGAGAGAAGATGTTTGAAAGTTCTGAGATGTCTGGGCTAGAAAATACAAAAAATAATTTGTCTCTGAGTAGTAGCTTACCTGCATTAAACACTGATGATAGTCTAATGGGAAGTTTTCTGGAGCAGTTCCCTGGACCAATGACACGTAGGCGGTCTAGTATTTTGTCGGCTTCCGCAAATTCATTGCTTTTGATTCATTCTGCTGAAAATTCAGTCAGCATTGATAACAAGGGTGATAGCGGAATCACCATGAGCAGTCATTCCAGTGAGTGTATGGATGTAGATGAAGAACTCATGAATAATAAAGAACAAATGGGTAGCCAAAACAAGTCAGCTGTTTATGCTCTCCCAGCTGTTGTGGTTCCAGATTCCGGCAGAGATGAAAGTTGGGTAGCTGCTGCAGATTTCATTGATCACATTGAGGATATAGAGGATGAACAAGAGGGTGTTGTAAGTGAGAATGCAGGAAGGCCATCACTAGCAGCACTCATGAAACAGAAAAAGGTGACAGCTAATGTGCGATTGTTCAGCAATTTAGAAACTGCAACTCCTGCTCAGAGGAGACAGTCAAGAGTACGTAACACTCCACAGAGACTGCCTCCACAGCGTGGTGCAAACTCGGAGTGCAGAGGAACAAAACTCAAACACACAAAGAGTATGCCTTATAGATCTACCATGACCCCACGAGAGCTGCTGAAGGCAAGGCAAAAATCATTCCATTTTGATAAATCTCCACACAATCTTGCGAAAGTTGCTGTAGTGTCTCCACTGAAGGAAAGCACATGGATAAATATTCAGCAGGAGCATTCTAGGGAAACAACAAAACCCCACAGGGGTGAAGCAACAACCCCACAGCGGAAATTCCACAATGATGAGGAAGGCTTCAAGACACCCATCATACCAAGGAATTTTCTGCGTAGCCAAAGTACAAAGTCCCCAGGGACACCATTTATAACCCAAGTTGAGACTCCCTCCGCCCAGCCACCTAAACTGCCTCCAAGAGCAAGTGTTAAACCATCACCCATACGTGTTCAATATAGATAAATATAAAAAGCTCTCATGATATTAGATGAATATAAAAAGCTCTCATGATGTTAGTCATGTTATTTCAGTTTGGTTTTCATACGTCTTACTTTTGCTTTACCTGAAATGCCATTGCTTTGCAAATTGAATTGTTTTAAGAGAAAATTAATAGATTGTAGCTTAGTTTCTAAATATCTTTGACATCCTTTTCCCTGTGGAACATTCCTTTGAATTATCTTTTAATACATTTGTATTTTCATCACTTTTAGATTTAATTACATTATGATACACCTGAAATAAACAAAGCTGGTACACCAGAAATAAACAGTACTGTATTTTTGATGGTTGCCAATTGATTTTTAGGTATTGCATCATTCCATATTTTCACGCAAGATCATACTCTCATACTACAAATCTACTGATTACCCCATGTTTTAGGTCATTTTGCTATGTAATTATTTTATAAGAGATTTATATCATATGCTTTGGTTCAGTCCAACTTGTTTTTCTTTTATCTTTCAACAAAGGGATTTGTTAAAAGTCTTGTTTTATAAAATCTGTGCCATACTAAAAAAAAAAAATTTTTTTTTAGATTAAGTGGATCAGGACTCAAAAGTCTGTTAGCTTTGTATTTTGACTTTGCCACAGACGCTCAATAAATTTTTAAAGAGATTGATTTTGTTTTTTATATAATTTGTACACATTTCATTGTTATGATAAACTTATCTTTTATTTGCTTATTACTGCTCAGTAAATTGGATGACTACCATTCTAACTGATGTTTATGCATTTAAAAGTGATCACATCATGGACATATTTATTTCAACTATAAGCTGTCTCTTGCAGCTGCATTTAAGACCTTTATTAACTGAGCACTGGCAATGAATAAGACACATGGAATAAAGATTGATATCCTAAACATTGATATTGTGTGAATGATAAGTAAAAAAAAAAGGCATTGAGAACAATGTATAACTTTTGCAACTGCTTATAATAAACATTTTGCCAGATGTTATATACACGTGCATATTATGAGGATTTAATTTAGGCGATAAGTTAATCAGATAAATTAAAAGACGAGAGTGCAAAAATATTACTCGTTTATTCCTCAAAACATTTCGGAGGTCCTACCCAGTCATGGCATTCCTGTTTTTAGAAATGGAGTAAATTTATAACATTTTCCGCAAGTAATGACCTCTTGCTTTAATATCTAGTCTGAAAACAAAAGCAGTCCCATCATGCAAAAATGTAACATACTGGAAAAATCGAGCACATTTACGCTCTGCCGTAAAAAATGAAATTACATGTATCTAAACGTCTAAACATGTTGGTTAACTTATTTTATAATGCAAGTGTTATTTTGTATAACTGGTCTTCCCATGTCCTTGACCTTGTATTCTAATATACCCTGTACTCAAAACCATTAGCTTCTGTGCATTGTTCCTTGCCACTCACATGGTGTGTATGGTATTTAATTTGTGTTAAGTTTTAATAAAATAATATGCCTTATTTGCTTATTTTAATGCTGATATCCACAGAGGAAAACACAATGATAATGAAAAAATTGCTATTTAGGAGACCAATAAGAACAATAACAATAATTATTATGACAATTATTACTGCTGCTTCTGATTGCCAGATTCTGTTTTCACCATTCCTACTCATAAAAGTTAGATTTTCCAATCTGAATGGGTGTAATAATACTAATATGATTATAGGAGCCAAAGTGGAAATATGAAAACGGTAGTCATAATAATAAAAAATAATGATAATCATGGTAAGTATAGTAATAATAATAAAAAGAGTAATCTCCAAAGTGGAAAATGAACAATAACCATAATACTAAATACTGATTATGGTAATCATAATATAATCATACTCAGTAAAAGCAAAAGAAGAGAATAAATGAATGGTAATAATGGAATAACAAACACGTATAATAAAACTAATAAGGGCAGTTATTTCTACTACTAAAAGTAATGATAATGGCAATTATGACTATGGTAATAAGTACGAAAATAATAATGACCAAGATCATTAGAATATAAAAATCAATGACAATCATGCCGACAATTAATAAACACCTTATGATGATAAATTTGATGAGGACGATGGTTTGTTGCAGTCATCGTTTTTTTTTTTTTTTTTTTTTGTATTTTGTAGAATTTTCTATATATTATTCATTTATACGTCTGTAGCTGGTACAATACTGGAGTGCATATAAGCATGTGTTTTCGACATGTATTTATATCTGTCAATCATATAATAAGTATTACCGCACCGATGTGATTGTTTTTAAAACGAAAATTTGAATTTGCCGCCACTACTATAAAGATTGTCATGTTGTTTATCAAACCTTTTTTGCGTTCACAAATGCAAGAAATTTTCCCGTACTAATCAAGAAATATTAATCTACATAATCACTGACTTTAGAATATGAAAATTCGTATATATCATTCTTTGCCGATCTTTTTGCGGACCAAAATCGACCAAATTGAAAAAAATATTGAGCATCCATATTCACTCCAACCGTCTCTGTTTCACACCTATCCAATTACACCTCGCATTCCCACTTTTAAGAAATAGAGAGGAAGCGCGTGTCATCATCAAAAAGGCGCAAAATCGTTCCGCTCGAAGGTAAGGATCCCTGACGTCCGCCATTTTGTTTTGACCAACTCCCGTGCGCTCTCTAACGGCCGAACGAGAAGTGACGAAGGTAACATTTCCAACCTTAATTAATCCCATTTGCAACCCTTTATCACCCGCAAATCCACGCTGTCCGCACAGTGCTACGTCCAATCCACCCCACCGCGCCCCAAAAGAGGAAGGAGAAGGAGCTTAAAGCCGCGAAAAGGGAGGAAAAGAGGAGAGCCAGGAGGATCCAAGAACCCTCGCTCGTGATGCCCCCTACTTTTCACTCTTAAAAGCTCTAAGTGTAAATTTGTCCGTCAGATTGCGTCGTTGTAGCTCTCGTAGCCTCAAATTCCGTCAGATTGCGTTGTCGTAGCTTAGTCTATGTCGCTTTTCCCGAATTCCCGTGGAGGGAAGGATCAGCTGACGGGGAATTCTTTTGTCATTTGCTCTGCTTTGGACTCTAATAAATGGAGACCCGGAGTTTTTAAAGACACCCTCTCCGTAGTATGTTTTTTTCTTCCTCTTTCATTCAAGTCTTCTGTGTTTTGTCCTGGGGTCTCTCTCTCTCTCTGTCTCTTTGTCTCTTTTTAAAAATCTAAAGGCGTAGTTGTATTTCTTTCCATCTAACGTTGATTTGATGAAGATGAGGTCTTAATTATCGGCGTTTCTTTTGTCTTTCGGACTTTTTGGGAGGCAAACGTCCCCTTTTCAATACGTATTTCGGTGGAAAATGGCGTAATATTTTTTCCCCCCCTCAACGTAATAAAAATAATTCCTCTTAGCAACGCGTTATATAATGTTTTCTTGATAAATTAACGGTTTTGAGTTATGTTTATATATAAATATGTAGGGATGAATTATGCTCTTTATAAACAATGAGAACAGGCAGTTGTCACAAGTTAATGCATTTGCAAGATTCAAGACAAAGATATCCTCTAATTATAAAAGTAATTATAAATTAAATTTGGGCTACCTGTTATGGTATTATAAGCCTATATAGGTGTTTATTTGTTCTAGTTAAATGATGATTCTAGATGAGTGAGGCTTTGTTGCATTGGGAGATGATAATGTTAATCAAAATCTAATTGACAATTAAGGAAATGGGTTTTCTTTAATTTTGGAGTTTGCATTCATTAGAGATGTTTAGAGTGTAAGAAGAATATTGTCTTGTTATTGTTGTACTACAAAGGTGTACTCCAGATCAGAGGTGCAGATAAGAATGTTTTAATGTTGGATAAAGTATTTTTTTAATGAGACCACGGATTTTTAAGTTCTTTGTGACTGGTTGCTGTCTTGTATATTCTGACAAGATAGGACCTGTAGATCTTCCTGGTAATTTTTAATTTATTGAGAAACAGTCTGTGCTCTCTCTTGTCATGGTTTACGCAATTGTAGTTTGTTGTCTTTTGCTGTTGTGCTGAAGGTACGCAGGCCTTTTTGATTGGTTGGGAACGTGCTGCTGTTGTGTAAGACTGGTGTAGCTAGCTTTGAAATATTTAGGGAGTATTTGTCTCGCTTTTCTCACACACCCAGCAGTAAAGATACGACTTTGTTGTGTACTAACTAATTAAAATGTGGTTGAATGGGACTTGTTTGCCATTTATTATCAAGTGATTTGTTGCTAGGATTAAGCTTCTTGATTTTGTACATATATTAAGACTAAAGAAAAGGAGAGAGATTTTTTTTTTCTTTTTCTTCTCTTGCATCCATCCAACTTTACAATTATTGTTTTTGTTCCAATTTTTTATGCCATATTATGCATGAATCTGTTGTTTATTGCAAATGAATTGTTTAGGAAACAAGTAAAAATACTGCTATTGCTTACTTCTAATTCCTCACGAGGTGATTGCCTCCCCTCCTCCCCCCTAGACTAAGTCCCTCTTACACCCACTAACATCCTTGGGGGTACTCTTGGGAATCCAAAATTGCTGTAATAACCCAAATCCTTCCTGACACGTGATTTTTGTCCCCAGTCCCCCACTCGGTTACTGTATTTCCCTGTTGGGGGACTTTGCCCATGTGCTGAAACTATACTGATAAAGTTAAGGGTGTTGATTGTTAAAAGTTTAGATAACATGAAATTTGTTTATGTGAAATAGGAGATGAAATAGATCTGTATCCTTTAAAGAGAAAAGATAATTTTGAGATAAATTAAGATGTTTGTTGCCTCTCTATGGATTAGCAAATGTTCCTTAGCAAGTATCATATTTTGATTTAAATCCTTTTGCAGAGAATTCATGTCTCTTAGTTCCAGGTTAAAGCTTCTTTATTTTGGTTAGGAAATATGATCGAAAATTAATAGATCTTGTATTCAGTGCAGTTATATTGTTAAATGCATATGTGTAGTGAACTGTAACTATTGGGATTCAGGGAATATTTAGAGTGTTATCCATTTATTTGCTGGTTGGTTGTCTCAGTTAATAGTTTTAAGGATATGCTGCTGCTGTTATTTAGCAAGGGCATAAGTTCCTTAAAAAAGTTGATTTAGTTGGAGAATTGTTTTTTACAGCATTTATATTCATGTGAGGATAATTTCCTTCATTTCTATTTACTGTATAGTTTAACACTGAATGTATCTTTCAGGATGGAGGGGAGCCAGGCGGGAGAGACAATAAGTGATATTCACAACTACCTGGACACCTTCAATAAAGAAATACAAACCGGTGACCAGGCAACCTCAGGTAGGTTTACAGAAGTTTTTGTTTTAGAGAATGCGGTTGATAAAGGAAGAACAAAAAAACAAAATTTGTACTTGGTATGCCACGGTTAGGGAGGACTGAAATGTTAGATTTGCTGTCATTCAAAAAACAGGATTTTGTTTTTGTTGTCTTAATAAGAATAATGCATGTTTATTTCTTGATTAATATTAAACAACCTTGATACAATTAGGTACCTGTGAAATATAATAAGAGTACTCTTCAGTCAAAGAGAATATATTGCGGGTCCAACATTGAAATTCTTTGCTTTCATTTAAAAAACAGAATTTTATTAGAAAAATTATCTTTTGTTTTTTCATTTGTTAATGATTTATCTTTTTCCAAATCTCTGCAGGTGATGTAGCTCAGGTTTTCGTTGATGAATCAGGCCAGTACTTCTATCAGAATGTTGACGGCAGCCAGCAACAGATGGTGGTGGTGTCCTCTGAGGGCGCAGATGGTTCAGAAGGAGACGTTGGGGCCGGAGGGGCAGATGGCTCTGTTATGCTTCATACAGAGGAAGACTCGCTGCATGAGGTATGAGAGTTTTTGCATCTGATTTTCCTGTGACAAAGCAAATATTAAGTTTGGTTATTATTGGAACTGAGAGTTGATAAAAGTATTTTCTTGCTCTCTTTCAAAAGTGTATATTAGTTGAGATATCCCAAGCAATTTGGATTTACACTAAATGAACGAGAAAGTAGTCTTGATGGAGGATACTTCAAAAAAATATATTGATTTAGTTGTGACATTTAGCGTCTAAATAATTTATGTGCTATCCCTGGAAGATGTCAGGCACCCAAAAATTGTGCTCTCTTGCTACTACCATGAATCTGTAAATAACCACCCTAGTTAACATGATCAGCCTAATTAGATTAATTTACACAATGAGGTTACTACAGGTTCAGTCTAGCAAATAAAATGAATATGCAAAAGTATCAAAATCATGTTTTGGATATATATAAGCGATACAAAAAGAAATATTGCTTTATTGGTGTGGTATGGCGAGTGTGAAGTACCAGCCAAGTTTGAAATAGGCCCTGAATAGTGAGTTGAATTTATTTTCAAATAGATAGATTTGGTATTTAATTCCACAAAACTTTCAGGATGGCGACAGCTTATCCCAGAGTCAGGTGGCCCTTGGGGAGGATGGTACCCTACAGGTAATATCCGGGATGGATCAGAGTGAAACGAGCAACCAGGTTGTACTTAATACAGGTAAGATCTCGTGATGTACGATGCTTTCTTTTGGTCTTTGTTAAATAATTTTAGGTAATAACTATTCTTGATTAGAAATATTAAGGTAGTGTGTGATATTATTTGACTTTTGAAACTTACTGTTCAGACTATGATGATTTTTTTTGTTATTTTACAGGTGACAACAATCAGATTGTTACAATTGTCCCATCCAGCACAAATCCTGGAGAAGTCAGTTATGTTCTCATTGTGGAACAATCTGGAGAAAATGACAAAGACGACACTGTATATGATTTCAATGAAGCTGATGAAGGTCTTAGTTATGTAAGTGTTATGTTATTGTGTTAGATGGACCAGTAGCCAAGATAACTTTACGTGAAACATTATATGTGTTGATGATTATTGATTACATTACATTATTCATTTGAAAAGAATTATAATTGAGATTAATCTTGTATATGAATGCTAATAGTTGGTAATTTACAGGAATCCGGTGAGGAGGACGATAAAAAGATGATGCGGATAATACACAAAAAGTCTCAAACTGTTACTCAGGCCCATATGTGCAACTATTGTAATTATACCAGCCCAAAGAGGTTAGACAGAAAAGTATTGGTGGAATATGTGAGATTTAGTGTTTTTCAGTTCATAAATGATTTTTGCATTGCTTGAGAACCATCTTGCAGGTGGCTTATATTTACATGTTCCTAATAGATCCTGCCTAGTGTCATTTTTGAAATATATCTGAAGGGGATAACATTTTATTTTGTTTAAAAGTCTGGTCTATATTATTTCTTTAATCTTTATGGTTTGTATTCATGACATACTTTGATAACATTTATTGCATGTGTATGTAATTCAGTGAAGTTGGAATGACCTGCATATCTATTATTCCAGATATCTCCTATCACGACACATGAAATCACACAGCGAAGAGAGGCCACACAAGTGTTCTGTTTGTGAAAGAGGATTTAAAACCTTAGCCTCTCTACAGAACCATGTAAATACACACACAGGCATTAAACCCCACCGTTGCAAATTTTGTGAAAGCACGTTCACCACCTCAGGTAGTTATATTGTTTTATTATGAAGTAGTGTAGAAGATTGAGAACATATTTGATTTGAAATGTTGAGGATTTTATGCCTTTAGACTGTCACTGTACTGAAATTCATTAATTTAATTTTGATTGCCAGGTGAGCTTGTGCGGCATGTGCGATACATTCACACCCATGAGAAACCCCACAAATGCCCGGACTGCGATTATGCAAGTGTAGAGTTGAGCAAACTAAAACGGCACATGAGATGCCACACAGGAGAACGGCCATATCAATGTCCACACTGCACATACGCTAGTCCTGACACTTTCAAACTCAAGCGCCACTTGCGCATTCACACTGGAGAGAAGCCCTATGAGTGTGAAATCTGCCATGCGAGGTTTACGCAATCCAATTCATTGAAGGCGCATAAATTGATACACACAGGTAGGTAGATAAGACTTGATGTTGCTTTGGTTATTTAGAACAATGGTCTGAAAAAACTTGCATTTAATATATTGCAGTGAAAAAGTTTAAATTTCCATTGTTTATGGATGAATGATTTTGTAGATATATTTATTATGACCAGTACTATTGTAACTAGCTATCAGCTGGTATGTAAGATAGTTGATAATGTTGAATTCTAGATGAAATGATATTCTATTTAGGTTTAGTATGATATGGTGATCTATTGTTAGTCAACAATGTTTTAGCATGAGTAGTGAAGAATATGTCTTTACAAAAGAATTTGCAATGAAAATGTCGTAGTATTTCCAGATCAAAAGTTATGAACATGGGATGGTATTCTTGAAAGGTCTATGGCTGTTCTTAGTAATTAGAGATATGGTTTACATTATTGTCATATTGCAAAATGAATGTTTCTAATTAGAACAAACAATTACAGTGTTACTAAACCTGTTATCATGATTGCAATAATATGATAAGTGAATACTGCAATGAATCTTACTTTATCATGATGATGATATAATGCATTTTAGATATTGAATTTTAGTTAAGCATACACACTGAAATACAATAAGCATTTAGGAAACAGTTCACTTAACCCATTGGATCCTGTTGTGTCACAGAAATCACAGTGCCGAAAATATGGGCAGTAGGTTATGTAAGTAGCTAACATCCCGGGTGTGTGGTGCATAGGCTGGGCGCGCACAAACACCATTGAGCGAATCAGGTTATTTTGTATGAACTTTTCTAGCTTTTTTGCCATTTTTCAATATCCATATTTGTCTTTTAACCCACTAACGCCGGTATATTTTGAAGCAAAAAATCAAAGATTCCGGGCGGCTACAAAATCGGCGGGCTACAAAATCCAGATTTTTCAATGATGGGACTGTAATGTCATCCAGATCATAGGGGTTAACTTTTTACAAGAAAGCATAAGGAACCTCCAAAGTTGGAAAACTAGGAGGTCCATTTTGGTTTATTGTTAAATAATGGTGATATTTTCTGTTCATTCCCAAAAGGACTGTCTTTAGTTTTTATTTATGAGATGTGGAAAACTGCAATGCAATTTTACTTTGAAGATTATTTCATGTTGAAAATGATAAGGAAATTGGGAGAACCCTTTTGATTTATTATCAAATAATCAAGAAGGGTCTTTCCTTGAGCTATTTCCTGCAATTTTCAGCAGGTTTCAATTAAAAAGATGGAAAAGGCACCATACACCTTCACAGTTCATCAAAGGTGCCAGAGGTGCCACAGTACCTTAAAATGTTCCAAATGAATAATATTATAATATAAGGAAAATTTATTGATGTATGTACCTTATCTTATTACTACAAAAGATTATCATCATTGGGCCTATAATACTCTAAACGTTTGTTCTAATTAGCAGTTCACTTTTGAGATGTAGCACCAATGCGAGTCGTAGATGAAATCACTAGAGGCCCTACCACACTAGTATTTTTTTCCATCAATTTATGGTTTCTGAATTTGAGGCTGTACCCAAATCTTGTATGCAAACAGAATGCCTCTCAGGCTAAGACAGTTGTGACTGTTTCTATTTACAATTTCTGTCTTGATCTTGTGCTACAAAGGATCTATGCAGCTAGAATATCTTTTATTTATAAATTGAATAGAAAATATTATGTAAACAAAAGTTGATATTATAGATTATTTCTAAAAACAATATAATTACATTTCTTTAAAATAAGGTGATATGTATGAAAATGCTCTTGTTATTCCTTGGACCTCACTTGGATGCCATATTGGTTTCTGTAGGCACCATGTTTGCTGCCATGGTAGTGTGATAGATTTACAAACGGAAAGTTCATATGGAAACGCAATGTGTGATAGGGCCTTAAGAATAGTCATATACCATATGTGAATACTACCCCTGATTCCTGATTTAGCTTTTATACATTTAAAGTGTTTTGATTTCTTTCCTCTTTGTTAGATAGGCTGTGAAAAGTTTTAGAAGATATATTTGTATTTGATAGCTGCCTCTCATGAATACAGCATGTGTGATGCTATGCTATTTTTCTATATGGTAAAGGTCTGTGCTATTACCAGGCCAGACCTTAAAATGAGGCACATCAGAATCATTGAGCTAATTTTTTACTAATTTTGCTGTTTGGCAAGGCACACTATCTTACGTGAAGAAAGTAGCCTTTGTTTTCTCATAGACAACAAGTAACATCACAAACCATCTGTTTGTCATCTGATTGGCTGACAGTTTTATAAAATCTCCCGCACCATATCATGTAGAACATTTCCATACCATTAACCAGACAGGGTGCATACCTGTCTTCTTGGTGTACTGTGGGAGGTACAGTTCACTCCCAGGTGACTGATGCAATCACAGTGTTCCTGCCACCTACACTTGATTGATGCTGATATTGAGCTAATTAACAGAGGCGGGGTACCATGGTGGCATGGGGGGCACCTGCCCCCCCTGCAATCTGATTGGCCACCCCGTGTGCCCCCCCAATGGTTATTGACTCGTCGTAATGGCCTCCTGTATATATATTGTGGCAGCTCCCCCAGATTTTTTGTTGTTACCCCCTGTGCCCCCCACCAGAAAATTCTCTGGACCCACCCCTGCTAATTAATGCTCTCCATATGGTATCACTGTAAAGTGTTACCACAAAAAAAAGTCTCTGAAATATACTGTAGGAGTGTATACTGCTCATAGTTGGCAGCTTTATGATTAAGCAACTTTTGGCATAGTTCGTAATGTATATCTGGTGTTCATCTATCATTTTTTTCTTTTCAACCAGTAGTTAGACATTTGATAAAAGTCTGCATGAGTTTGTGTTTCATTGAGCTTGACAATATCAGAGTATTATGAGGCAATATTTTGCCTTTTGACAATGTTTAGATAATTGACAATGAAAGAGGAATTCTGTGTTTGGATGTTGCATCAGGGAACAAGCCGGTATATGCGTGTGAGCTATGTCCAACGACGTGTGGGCGCAAGACAGATCTCCGGATTCACGTTCAAAAGCTGCACACCTCCGACAAACCATTAAAGTGCAAGAAATGTGGGAAAGCTTTTCCTGACAGGTAGGTGGTGCTTTTGGTATCTTCTACTGATTCCTCCTCCTCCTCAATTTTTTCATCCTCCTCATCCTTCTCCTTTTCTTCTTCCTTCTTCTCTTCCTCTTCTTTCTTCTCTCTTCTCTTCTTCTTCCTCCTCTTCTCTCTTCTTCTTCTCCTCTTCTTCTTCTTCTTCTTCTTCTTCCTTCTTTCTCTCTTCTTCCTCTTCTTCTTCCTCTTCTTCTTCCTCCTTCTTCCTCTTCTTCTCTTCTTCTTCTCTTCCTCTTCTTCTTCTTCTTCTTCTTCTTCTTCTTCTTTCTCTTCTTCTTCTTCTTCTTCTTCTTCTTCTTCTTCTTCTTCTTCTTCTTCTTCTTCTTCTTCTTCTTCTTCTTCTTCTTCTTCTTCTTCTTCTTCTTCACTTCTCTCTTCTTCTTCTCTTGCCTCTTCTTCTTCCTCTTCCTCATCGTCCTTTTCTTCCTCTTCCTCTTCTTTCTCTCCCTCCTCCTTTTCTATCTTTCTTCCTCGTCCTCATCCTCTTCTATCTTTCTTCCTCTTCCTCCTCTTCTATCTCTTCTTCCTCCTTTTCATTCCCTTCCTCCTCTTCCTCTTCCTCCTTCTTTTCTTCCTCTTCCCCCTCTTATTCCTCTTCCCTTTCTTCTTCCTCCTCTTCCTCCTTCCTCCTCCTTCCTCCTCCTCCTCCTCCTTCCTCCTCCTCCTTCCTCCTCCTCCTCCTCCTCCTCCTCCTCCTCCTCCTCCTCCTCCTCCTCCTCCTCCTCCTCCTCCTCCTCCTCCTCCCCTCCTCCTCCTCTCCTCCCTCCTCCTTCTCCTTCTCCTTCTTCTCCTTCTCCTCTTTCTTCTTCTCCTTCTTCCTTCTCCCTTCCTCCTCCTCCTCCTCCTCCTCCTCCTCCTCCTCCTCCTCTCCCTCCTGCTCCCTCCTCTTCCCTCCTCTTTCCTCTCTCCTCTCTCCTCTCTCCTCTCCCTCTTCCCTCTTCTCCTCCTCCTCCTCCCTCCTCCTCCTCCTTCCCTCCTTCTCCCTCCTCCTCCCTCCTCTAGACAGGTCTGGCAGTTGAGAATTATACGCACATTTGACACATAACTAGTAATATCCATAGTCAATGTGCTAATGTATTCCCTTTTTATATGTTTCCTTGCAGATATACTTTCAAGCAACATAACAAATCCCATGAGGGAGAGAAATGCTTCAAATGTGACCTGTGCCCATATGCCTCGACCTCGGCAAAACACTTGGAATCTCACATGCTGGTTCACACCGAGCAGAAACCTTATCAGTGCGATCAGTGTGACCAGGTAAGATGAAAGGAAATTGGTTGTTCATGTATGATTATGATAATTTTTTGTGTCTTCTGGCTCTTAACACTAACATTAAGTTTGGTGGATGTTGTTACTGTGTGATTGGTCAACTTGCACTTAATTATTTATGGATATTCCTTCCCCAGGCTTTCCGACAGAAGCAGCTGTTAAAGCGGCATCAGAACCTCTACCACAACCCAGCGTATATCCCCCCCATGCCCAGAGAAAAAACTCAAGAATGCCCCGAGTGTGGGAAGGCATTTAGACACAAAGGTTAGTTTACTCTCCTTTTCAGAAAGCATGGGTATTTTTTGTAGTTTTGCAGTCACTCGGATTTTCTTTTAGAATTAGTAATAAAATATTTTATGTACATATTTTTCACATTATGGATGTATCCTCTCCTAAATTTAGGGGCATTTGGCATTAAGAAGAGATATTATATATGGACTGAAAATAATGTAACAAAAGTATAAGATTGCACCATACTGTATTTATTTTTGCAGTCTTTTGACCAAGATATGTGTGGCTGTCTTTTGGTTATGATTAAGTAAAATTGCATTTTTGTGTCCTGTCTCACATTTTTTAACCTCCCCTTTCCTCCTTAAAGGTAACTTGATTCGGCACATGGCAATTCACGATCCAGATGCCTCTGCGCAAGAGAAAGCTCAAGCCCTCAAAATAGGAAGACAAAAAAGATTGCAGCTCATTAATGGACAGCAGGTGAGAAAAGAATCTAAAAGAAAACATTGCATTGAATCAATTTATATATATATTTATATTATTGTTAAACTTTTTAAAAATCGTATCTTTATTCATTGTTCTTATTTCCAGGTGGAGGTTTACACAGGAGAAGTTGACGAGGATGAAATTATGGCTGTAGAAGGACAGGATGGAAACCAGTATGTGGTTCTAGAAGTCATTCAGCTACAGGTAGATATTACCTCTTTGTGTATCTATAGGCCATTTGTTTAAATCAGTGAAATTTGGCTGTTTTTCTTCCTTTTTTTTTCATTTCAGCCCATCATGTTTTCTTAGTAAAAGCCTAAAAGCCCTGTCACACCTATGAGTTTTTCTCTCTTGAACTTGTGGTACAGGGGATTTGTACCGTTAAGAGTGTTTTCATAGATAAATAAGACAAAAGAAATTTGTCTGTCTAATCTATTATCAGATAATATTTTTTCACAGTATAGTTATCTCCTTTACATAACGATACTCATTTAAAATTATGTAATATGTGCGAGTATGTTCTTGTAATCCCTGTTTATATAGGCCTTCTGTTTGTTTCATGGGAATAGTGGTTGTCTGCAAGTCTAATAGTTAGATCATTTGTACATAAAGTTTGTATGGAAATACAAAAAATTAAATAAAAAGTACTTGTGTGATAGGGCCTTAATCTTTAAGTAAACACACTTGGTAGTTCTGAAATTACGTGTGCATTGTAGCATAAAAAGATAGAATGAGATCAACGTTGTATTTCAGGATGGAGAAGGGCATGTGATGATGTCAGATGGAATCCCAGTGACAGACAGTTCCCTCGATGGAGCAGGAGTTGCTAGTGTTTTAGGCTCTTCGCCTTTAATGGTTCCTGAGACAATTACTGGAGACACTATAGGTGAGTGTGCTGGATAGTTTGTGTAGTTTTTATCACTATTCTTTTACTGCTATTGTTGGATCTGGAATGGATTCATAAAGTGATATCTTTGCAAAGATGAAGTGTGGGCATCTGTAATCAGATTCTCTATACAATATGGTGCTTTTAGTTGCCTTATAGCTACCATCTTGCCAAGAAAGGAGTATTTTCCTTTTATATAGTACTTAGGAAGTATAAAAGAAATACTACTAATAGTAGCAGTAAAAGGATTCAGTTTTTGGCAGCATAATTTTGTAAATTTTGTTTTATTCACTTAACCACAAGCCGACGGGTGGCATGTATATACATGCCATGGCCTTTGTGGACTGAAAAATGGCATTGTATCATGCCCATTCCCGCGCTATTGGCTCGTCGGATGGTTTGCTTTTCTCTGATAGTAGCGGCTTTATTTATTTTGTAAAGATTTTAGGCAGTAGCACCAATAATGAAAGTAAACCTACAAAATTATAATACTTTTATTAAATATAGAAAAATTAGAGCTATTATGTGCCAAATGTCGCTCGCAAACTACCGAACT